CCACTTAGTCATGCAACTTATGCTGAATCAAATCCTACTTTAAGTGAAACTGATACAAGTCTAGAGAAAAGATTTGGCCCTTCTAGCAACATTACTTCTTCTACGGCTTTAAGTCCAGGAGTAGAGAAGTACAATAATACTACAGATTCGAATGCGCATTCATCTAGCCCGATCCATCATAATAATAATAGTCAAATTAGTTTATCTGCTAGATCTAACGTAGGAATAGCTTATCCACAAGAATATGGTATGATGACCAAAATTTATAGAGGTTGGAATGGTAATGCGATCGCTGACTCTGGTGTAGATGAGAGACATGTCAAAAAGAAGAGGTTAGGATACTTAGATGCTCTTAAATTTTTGGCGGCTTTAGTTGTTATGAATGGGACTTTATTCGATGCCGTTTTAAGTGAAAATGATTATAAAGTGATTCAAAGAGATTCGCCACTTTATGTCTTTAGGTCAGCAAAAAGCTTTCTTTCTATTTTAAGTATGACTCTCTTCTGAAAATCGACACGTTTTTTTCATCACTGATAAGTTTGTTCTTTGTTGTTCTCATAGATCGACTAACCTGGGGATCTGTATGTTGTTACTACTTACTGGTCGATGCCTTATCGCTCCACTTTGGGATGCTCCTAACCCTCAAGCGAAATTGTTAATGAAGAATCATGACCCAAACAAACCGCTGATCTCTTGGGCTAGATTAACTAGAGCTATGCTCGTTCGACCTTTTAGATTCATCTTGCCCGTCTTATCCATTGCTGCCCTTCAATGGGGTCTGGCATCAGGTGGTGATAATCGATTGACTAAGAACTGTAACAATGCTGGGATGACAGAACCCTATTGGGGTAATATTGATCGCTTTGCTGGTTATGTTACGCTCGTCTTTGATCTTGTACGTATTGGATCAGTTACTTTTCCTTTGCATTTGAGGGCTCGTCCGGATCTAAGTGCTCATACGCTTCTGTGTATTTAGTTCACTTATTTCGAACAAGACACGACGGCTGGGAAAGCCTTTGGGGCTAACCTCTGGACTGTACCCTGGTTCTTTCAAGCTGGATATGCAGTCTATGTGACTCATTTCATGCTCGGTAACTTGTCCTCGAACCGGTACTGGGTCTATGGACTCTTGATGGTATTTAGTTGGACGAGTTTCAATTACTTTGCTGTCAGTCTCTTCCATTTTTTTTTATCAAACTTTACAGATTTTTTGTTATCCACAAAACTGAATTTTGTCATTTACAAATTAATAGTTACCGATTACTGGACTTTTGATTGCTGATATGGCTGCTCACGGTCACACCGCACGTCTTCGAAAGTTACCTCTTGTTTTTCGACTCAGCATTCGTGGTGTCTTATTAGTTTTAGCAGTAGTAACTCAATTTGTTCCAGTCGTTCGAAATAACCTCAACTCTGCATTAGCTACAATTAATGTCCAAGCTCACACTGAAATTGCCTTCGCTGATTGGATCTTTGTGACTTGTGTATTATCAATCTTAGAAACATCTGAATTAGCCCAAAAGATTTTATCATTATCGCCTTTTAAACTCTTAGGTAAATTATCACCTGGAATTTATTTATTAGCACCTGCTATAGTTTTCACCATAGTACCAGATGTAGCCTTAAGTTTACATGACTCAGGTACTTATCAAGCTTCTAGCGTATTAGGACTTAGTTGGTTATTACTCTTGGCTATCTGTTTAGGTGGATCTATTGCATTTCATTTCTTCATCGAATGTCCATCACAATTATTTGGTGAAGTTATTGCTGATTTATTCGAAAGATTAGGTGCTGATAGAGAAATGATGAAAAAAGATGCTGAAGATTTAAAAGCTTTAGGTATTTCTGGTGGTATTGGTAATCGTAAATGAATCAGATATTATCTGAAATAATATGGGCTTTGTTTTGTTGTTGTGTTTTTGGTTTCCCTTGTTCTTTTGGACACTCGCTTCTGTTGTGTGTTTGCCTTATCATCTCTTCCTCCCTACCACTAAAAACAAAATCAAAAAAAAAAAAAAAAATTACGAAGTCTCTTACTACAAATTAATTTACAAATCTTAGTTTTTTTTTTGTTTCTTCTTTCTTTATGATGCCCAACCTGATTCCTTAAAAACACACTTATCAACTTACAAATGCAATTATTCCAAAAAAAAAAAAAAATGATGTATGTGTTTGTGTTTTTTGTACTTTTTTTACATTGTTAATGACGAATGAGCCAAACTTCAAATTTTTTCTTACCCCTTTACCAAATCAAGAAAAAAAAAAAATCCTTCTCTTTGTGTGATTTGATTATGTTGCAAGGAAATAGTGGTTGTTTAGTATGAACTTCCTGCGGGTTTGTTTGGGATGTCGTTGGCTTATTTGAAATGCAAGATGCAGGAATGACGATGAGAAGCTTTACTCGAAGCGTTGATGATTGTGAAAATGTTTAGACAGTTGAGGTTCTTTATAACTGATTCATCAGACTTTTAATCAAGCCCTTCACGCCAAGCAAGTTTAGCTTCATAACAGAGGTCAATCATGTTGAAAATTGGGCTTGAACCATGTCAGGTTTTGACTTTTTGAACAAGATCATTGATAAACCATGCTGGGCTGATAATTGGGCTGACACCGGTTTTCCTTAGTACTAATACTTCTGAAAGGTATACAGCCGGTATACAGCTCTGGATTACCTGATAAATATTCAAGTGGATTCTGGAGCCAGTGTTTCAGCTTGGAAATGGACTTTATCTTTTGTTAAAAGGGATCTGATATACATTTGATAACTATGACTGGTAAAGGTAGTACAGCTATCGTGTAGGTTAACAGTCGATTGCCATATTATATTCAAGCCGCAAACAAAAGATACTGGATTTCGGGATAGACAAAAACATTTACACCATATTAAAGAATGATTTTAGACAGATCTTTCTTACAAACAACACATGTTGAGGTGGATTTGACATTCACATTGCTTGGAATGTAATTTTTTGACTTTACTATTTTTTTATTTTATTTTTTTTGGATTAGATATGTGACTGGGCTTGAACTGATATAAACATATATATATATATATTCTATTATCATATTTACAGATAGATTGTTGTAGGTAGGGTTCAAATCATAAATAAGATGAGGTCATATATATATATATAAACCTTTTTTAACAAAAGTGGGACATATAGATTATTCCAATTAAGATTTTAAATTGTGTAGAGAGTGGAATCTTTACCCCCCCCAAAAAAAAGAAGCTAACTCCAAGCAAAAAAAAAAAAAAAAGCTTCAGAATTTATTTGAAGCCTTGAAAGAGATCAAAAGTTATTGTAAAGTTATATACTAGTTGTATACCTTTTTTAAAAGTATTGAGATTCAGGTAAACCAATCTCAAGCCAAATTTTCAGTTTGGTGTGGTTTATCCATAACCTATTGGTTTTATAAGTCTACTTTAGGGAAAAAAAAAGCCTACCTAAAAAGTGGTTAAAGCTTGATGGAAATCTAGTGGAATGTGTGATACTTAAACCCCATACATGACCCTCAAAAACTAACATTTCCCTTTTAGTTTTCTCTGAGGATTCATTTGGAGGTAACATATTGCAGGAAGCTCTGTCCAAAGCAGTAGTAGTGAAGGAGTTTGTGGAACATGGGAAAGCTTCATAGATCAATTTTCTTGGAAAAGCACAGTCAGGGAATCCTTTTCCAAAGACTCTTTGGATTTGCTGGGCAGGACACTGCATCCTAGAATACCTTTTATGATAAAATTCAAGGCAAATGCCTTAAAAGTGTACCAAGATAGATTTTCTAAAGATTGTGAGTTCAAGGATTTATCAAGTCACTTTACCATTAATTAATATCAGTTGTGAAAAAAAGACATGATGAAAAAAATAATCTGTGCACAGCATTGAAGACATTCAATGTTGGATTAGACAGGGACAACTAATGTAAATTTGTTGGTAGTGAATCTGGGTGCATCAGGTGGAAACCTTTCATGGCCAGAACATTTGTGCCAGAAGAAATAGTGTTGTGAGGGGTAGACTTCTTTCTAGTCTACCTTAACAAGTGAGATGAGGGTATTTAAGTAGTCTGTAAAGGGGTAAGATTGATACTGGGCCTTGATATGTAAGTGTACTTGATACATGTACACAGTTTCTGTTTTCAGGGCCCCCAGTTTTGGGGACTGCAAAGGGGTAAAAAGGAACCCATTTGTCTGTCCACAGCCCCCAGGGTTGGAGACCTGTAAAACAGACACTGTAATATGGTTACACCTGATGTTTCATCACAATTAGATACATATTACTACTGTTCTACAACACACAGTATATGTAATATGATTAGTACACCCTATGAGACTTTTGAGAAGTCCTCAGAGCTAGCAGTTGTGTCCAAGGTGATGTTGGACAAAACCATTTGATGCAGATATGCATGTATACATTGCTTCCCACTTGTTGGACAAAAGCATGTTTGTTGGATGTGTTTTTCCAATGTAAATGTGTTGGAAGTGTTGGCTGGTTGAATTGCATTCTGTATGAATGAATACATTGAGGCAAGCATGTGGGCAGTAGTATTAGTTGAAAGAAAAAGAACTCTTAAGTCTTTGAACACAAAATTATTACAAGAACAGTATTTCAAAAATGCTGAAGAATTTCAAATCATTCAATTTCCACCCCCTTGGTTACTCAGTAGAAAAGGGAATAAGAGCCACAGATTTTCACTGACACACAAGAATGAATAGGGAGTATATTGGAGCTCCAAGGTTTCCCCTCTCCAGAGCTTTCTGAGCTAAGATTTCAACTTTTCTTGTCTTCACCAGGTTCTTTCATTCTGATTCAATGTACCTTTTGGGTGGGAGATGTACTATGGTAGCAAGAGTTGGTCAGGATTGATTGTATTGCCCTAAACTTCAAAAAGATCAAGGGAAGATGTTGATAAGTGGTCATATGCTTATGATCCCTGCCATGTCAAAGCAATCCACACCTACACTTAGGTAGTGCTGCTTCCTACACATTCCTATCACTCTGGATAGCGACTGGATAGCCTAGTGATAAAGGCATCACATCAACATTATGTGTTAGCTTACATGCTGAGGTCCCTGGTTCAGATCCAGTTCTAGTCATGTCACAACAACACTCATGTCCACTCATTTGGGAAACACCTGGCAGAAAAGAATATCCAAATCAAAATTGGTGACCAAGTGATACAATTTCAATCATCTTGAATAAAGACCACACAAAGATATAAGATTCCAGACAAAGATTTCCAAAATTTTACAGGCACAGACAGAAATCAGAGCCTTTTTTGAGGTTCCCCAAAGTTAAATTCTGCCCATGAATGAAGTCTAGCTTGAATGGTTGTTTGGAATAGTAGAATTTCAGGGGGAACCAAAGGGGAAGAAATGAAACAGATACTGCCATAAAGGTTTCCTCATAGGGTGAAGTCCAAGAAGTCTTAAGACTCCTCATATTTTTGAATCGAAGTGAATTTTGTTGGAAGTGAAAGGCTAACATCACCAAAATTGCACATTAATAAGCAGGAAAAGTCAAACACCTTTGGTCATCAATGGAAGTTTTCATTAAAAATAAAAATTTCAATGATTCATAAAAATCCTGGGGTTGCTTCAAGTCAGATGACCCTAATGAAGGGGCACACAACCAAGTTGCTAATCTATGCCCAACACCTTGACTCCCAAAAACTTGTAGACTTGTTTTATTTTCTCAACATCCAATTTCATCTCTTCTGGAATGCTTGCAACTGGGGGCCATTGAAGCATTTCATGCGGTGGTTGGCCAATTCTTGCTTTGAGCATGCAGAACTTCATGTAAGCAAAGTCTTTCATTGGTAGGGCAACTAGTGCAGATGCCAAAGCTTCTGCGCCGTCAATGGTTTGGTATCTCCACTCCTCCTCATTTAAATTGGGTTCCTTGGTAATAACCTCCTTCTCCCAGTTCGCATAGGAATTGTTAATTCTCTGCGCTTGCACAACAAACTCTTTGAGACGTTCTACAAATATTGGCTTTAGTAACACATCTCTCAATATGAAATCACTCTCTGGTGTAAGAAGCCAACTTTCTTTTTCGGTCAAGTGACTAACAGGTGTCTCCACTAGTCTTCCTCTCAAAAGTTGATAGAAATCTTCAACTTTCTCCTGAATAGCTCGGTTGCCCATATTTTTCCAGTCAACCTCTGTTGCTGAGAATTCGAATATGTTGTCAATCTGCTGAATGATAGGAACAATTAACCCCGCTTCCATGAAGCCTCTCAAGCTATCTTCGCCAAAGAATTTTTTGTAATTGCGTATATTTGCTTGAGACATGACCGCAATTGTTTTGACACGCATATTATATAGATATTTTGGAATTATTTTCCAGAGAAACCTCATGGCCTTTTCGTCCAAGTTTCTCAACCTTATACTTTCCTTAGCCTCGATCCCTTTTTCAGAAGAGTGATAAAATACAGGCCAAGGTTTGTCCAATCGTAATAGGTTGAAATGTTCACTGACAGAGGAAATCAATGTTCTTTTATGCTTTAAAAACCGTCCAGTCAGTGTGTATTGGTCAAATTTTGCAATCATAGAGCACGCCAATCTCTTCCCTTCTGATCCTGGGAAATACTCCATGAAGATGTTTATGAATGAATTCCAATCGGCCCAGTTTGTGATATAGCCTGCAAAGCTGATCTCTCTCAAATCCTGGGGTTCTACCAAGAAAGGTGTTGTTTTGGTTCCTTTGTGTCTTTGGACCAATCTTGAGAGTGTTGCTCTGGTAATAAAATATTTGGATAGTTTTCCATGATATTCTACCATTGGTTCTGCTCCATCCTTCGACCTACTGTTTGTGGATTCTGTATTATTTTCATGCTCATCCCTTTGCCTTTGTTCCTCCTTGCTTTTCTGAACTTGAAAATCATCCCCAGGTTTGCTCTGAATTTCCATATTCATTCTCTCAATTGTTTGTTCATGTGAGGTTTTCAAACCGCTTGAATCCAAACAACGAGTTTCATAGGCTAACTTGTAATCATTGGAGGTACTACACATATGAATAGACAGAAAAAAGATATCACCACAACCTTAGCAAAGGTCCAAAATATCCCGCTACACTGCCACCAGGATTAACTTGGATATCAAAACCCAACATGGCCTTAGATGTTCCTCAGATACCAAGTTCAAGGCAAAAAACTCCACAGATATTTTGGCTGTGTAAATCCTTTCAGTTTATGCCTCAGACAACAATTCTGATGCAAAAACCATCCAAGGCTAAGACTCTTTGAATTTTACCACCTGAGGTAATCTTTCTGGAAGTACTGGAAAACAAAAATTCTTTCAATTTTACTTACAGTAGTTTTTGTGCTTTGTATTCCTTTAAGTCTATCATGGGGTTTATAAGTTTGAGTACCTCCATATTGATCTTCAATGTCTCAACGTGTCTGAAATCCGAAGGTGGGAATATTAACAGGTTTTTAATGCATTCAAGCCAAAAACTCCCTCTTTCTACATACCTTTGGGGTGAGTAATCTTTGAAGATGTACTCATATCCTTGTAAGTCTTGATCATCCATCTTCAAACTGTCATGCCTTCCAAACATCAGCCAAGGTTTGTCTTATTCTACCTTACCCACCAATGCGGACTTACTTATGCATGTGCTGTAAATACCCCTGCTGATGATTATCTTCATATCTTTTCCAATATGGACCACTAGACTTTAGTTCTGAAGCAGAAACATGTCCACCAACACGGGCTTGGTTGACCATTCTGCTCCCCACTTGGCAATTCCTGAAGGGACTAATTTGAAATTTAGCAGGTTTGAGATGATACCTTAAAATTAAAATACATGCCCTAATCACTCACTTTTGATCCCAAGCAGTGAAATCATGTAAATATTCCGGTACGCTCAGTGATGGTTCAACTGACCCCACTTTTTGTTCCATGTTGGAGTAGGGGATGTAGGCTGTATTCGGAAGATACATATGGTAGATAGTTCCGTCTTGTGAATAATCATTGTGTATAGCACGGTATCCTGTAGTCGAATCAAAGTAGGGCGGTCCGTGTGGAACACCATATGGACCCACAGTAGGAGACGATGCGTGTTGAAATGTTGAATACGGGTTTACTGGACCGGAAGTTGTTTGACATATGCGTTGATATCCGGGTGGGAGGGAAAGAGGTTCTCCACTAGACACCAATGCTGCTTGATGGTTGTCTCACAAGTGGTAGGTCAATCATTGTAACATCTGTTCATCGCTATGACGGTTGAACTTACCTGGTGTCCTTGTTGAAGACTGTTCATACTTAATCAAAAGCGCCGCCGAAACTATTGTAAGTTGAACTACGCATATGACATACCACATGAGTTGTGCATGCATATTTTTAATAAATGCCTGCTTTGTGTGCTAGGAAGTGATGAGCGACTGAAATACGCAGATTTTGTCTTCCAATCAATATTTGCCAAGAAAAGGTGTGGAACATCAAGAACGGTTTTATAGAGATTTTTAGGGTGGGCCTGACAGTGAGTGGATAGCTTCATTTCGCAGTCACGTTAGCCCTGTGCAGCAACTATATATTCAAATCCTCCGATCGAGTCATGTCTCAACTTCCGCATATTCATGTGTGATACTTCCGCCAATTGCACTACTACCAGCATGGATGCCTCGGATCGAAAAAATCCAAGGCATCTTTGGATGTAAAACCTCAGAAAGGGGGTGCACCTTGAGGCTCCAGATTCATCTCAGAGGGTGTATCTACTACTACGTCGGCAGACAACATGTTTGAAGTGCTTAAAACTCTTCCCCCGAACTTGTCTTCACTCTATAGGGAAAGGTGAGATCTGACTCAGCCTGAGTAAAGACCGGGTGTGTGCGGAACATAGGCCTACCCCTACCTCTGATGCGATCAGGGTCTGATCTCCTCGCAAGATCAGGAGGGGGGGGGCCAAACTTGTGAAGGTTTTGGGGGCGACCCCTGATCTCCTATGAAACCCTTTGGGTGTTGTTCGAAGGTATACCAAGTATGGTCAGAACCCAACTCATATACCCGTGGTGGTGGTGGTGGTGGTGGTGTGTGTGTGGG